CTGCTGAACTGGGGCATTTGTCCTCAGTGAAGTGGCTTCAGACTGGAGATGGCAATGGCCCAAATACCTTGTGCAAAGAGGGTGTAAGGCCCAAATGGCAGGAGGCCTGCTTGCTCTTCTGCTTCCTGGCTTCCTTCTGAGCTGATCTCCTCCAAGCACCACCCCCAGCCTCTGGCTGTGGCAGCCTCCTTAGCCTTCCCATCCGACTCAGCTGGGGACAGCACAGGCAGAGCTGGGTAGGTGGGCGAATTATACTCTCCTTACCTGTGCAAACCTGAGTTAAATTACACCCTAAGGTGTGTATGGGTCAACTCTACTGCTTTCCAACTCTTTGGGCACCTGTGCACTGGGAGGACTGGGAGAATGCCCCATCCTGAGGCCCACGGCAGGGCAGAGTGACAAGAGAGATGCAAGGACTAAAGCTGGGAACAGTCAGGACTGGAGTGGCACTGGTTACAGGTGGAATGTGCCTGCAAAGCTGAGAAGGGAGAGAGGACAAGAAAATCCCTTGGAATCATAGAATCATCCTGGTTGGAAGGGACCTTGAAGATCATAAAGTCCAACCATAACCTAAATCCCCCTACTATAACCTAATTTACCTGTTCAGTGCTTAAATCATGTTGCTAAAATCACAACTTTGGTGAGGTCAGGTTCCTCAAAAGGGTTGGAAGCAGGTTAAAGCCTGTAGCTTGGATGTGGGGGTAGCAGCTTCCAGGAACAGAGACCTCAGGCAAAATACCCTGGTAGACTGGAGTGATTCATGTCTCAGCTCCTGCCTGTGCCTTTCATCTTCCCTGCAGTTCTACGAGACATCAGCGAGCGAGGCAGGGACCTCGAGCAGATCTTGTCTCAGTACATCACCTTTGTCAAGCCTGCCTTTGAGGAGTTCTGTTTGCCAGTAAGTAAGGGGAGTGACACCCATGGGAGTCTGACAAAAACACCTGCCCAGCTCCTTAGGCAGGAGCATTTTGTGCCTTGGAGCTCAGGTTAGCTTGCCTCATCTTGCTCCCTCCCTGCAGGCAGTAGCAAAAATGGGGGTGCCAGTCCTGGCTGGGGCAGGGTGAGACTGGGGACTACTTATACAGCCACTGCCTTCCTGGAGAGATCACCTTCCCTATGGAAACGTCAAGATGGACAGAGAAACTCCTCACTGCATAGGGTCTGACAAACCCAACACTAGGCAGCTCAGCAAATGCCAGCTTGGGAAGGAAAATCCTTGGCTGCATCTAGCTGAGGATGGGGAAATCCCTGTCCCCAGGCACTGTCTGCTGTATCTGCCTCCTATTTTGTGCTGTCCTGCCTGCCCTTCTCACTCCTGCAATGCTGCTGGCTTCTTGCTGGCTGGATGCTGGCCACACAGATGGGCACAGAGATGTTTTTGTGGCCAAGGTCTGAGGCTGGAAACACAGGTTCAATTCCTGCCTGTGCTGCTGGCCAGCAGTTCCCAGGTTGCAGGCCTCCTCTGGCTCAGTTTCTCCAAAATAAGAAATTTCTCATATAACTACACATGAGAGGGGCTGATTCTTTTGTGTGCTACAAGTTCTTTTCTGTGGCTCCTGGGCAGCACCCTTTTGCCTGGCTCAGATGTGGCTCTCAGAACCAAAGTCCAAGTCCAGTGTACTCCCAATAAGTCTTTTCCTGAGGGGCAGGTGCAGTTTGGTGCCTCCCAGGTCCTTAGTAAGGTAAATCAGCAGCTTTGTGAAGCTGCATCAGTCTCTTCTGTTGAAGAGTCTGTAGGAGGAGAAAATGTGAATCGAGGAGGGTAGAAAGTCACTGCTTTGTCCCTACCCACCAGCTTTGCAGTGGTCTGCTCCCACTTCCAACTTGGTGGTTGGCTCATTTGGATGTCGAGCAGGCTCAGCACCCACTGCTGCTGGTACTCGACTCCTAAACCAGCTCTGGGCTGGGTATCCAGCACTGAAATGGTCCAGCATGTCCTGGTGCTTTCTGATACAGTTTGGAAGCACCTGTAGGTGTCAGATGACACCCTCTGCTCATCAGGCTAGCTTTGTTAACTGGTGGTAGATCTTGGCTGTCAGGAAGCTGATCAGCTGCGAAAGCTGACACAGAGAAGGGGTGGAACTGAAACTGGCACCTGCAGGTGAAAATAGGCCAGCACTGATGCCCTGAATCAGACCTTTTTTTTTTTTGCAGCAGTGCTGGCAGAAAATTCTCCCTGCATCCCAACCAGATCATATGGCTGCGCCCCACATGCCCAAACACCCCAGGCATGCCAGCTCTTGTTCTTGTACTCAGTCTGCCTGGATTCAGGGAGGAGGTTGCTCCCCAAAGCATCAGCTGCTGGGGTCTTGCAATGGTGAGGCTTTTCAGTTTCAGGTCGTGTTATGTGTGCCTCTTATTGGAATCTGTATGAGCTCATGAAAATGTATTTAAGGGGCCAAGCAGTGCCCTCAAAACCCTGGGCAAAAGACAAGAGCATCCAAATTACCAGCCATGACGTACCTCCCTGTGGGTTTGGCAGGGGAAGGGGAAGGACTGGCCCAGGAAGCAGGGACAATGTCCCAGCCTGGTGGCTCTCCACTCTCTGTAACACAGTGCTCTCTCTCCTCCCAGACCAAGAAGTATGCTGACGTGATCATTCCCAGAGGAGCAGATAATGAAGGTGAGTGGACCCAGCCCCTGCCGTAGGGTCCTTTGCAGCTTTGGGCTGCTGATGTTGCGGTGGTGTTGGGGAGGAGGCAGCAAGACCTGCTACAGAGGTGACTCAGGCCCCTGCTACCCAAGAGTCACCACATGTGTGCTGAGATGAGCACATTTGCTCCTGCCTGGAGCATTAGTGACGGGGAATTTGTGCTCCTCTGTTCGATCCTGGGAGCTCATCCATGTGCAGTGAACTCCTGCTCCATCCCACACAAAGGGAAATGGGCTTCTGCAAGGTCAGGTGTGCAGCTGGGACAGCCAAGTCTCTGCCTGGCTGGAGTCAGCCTGACAGACTGGCTTGAATGCTGAACTCAGCTGGGGGCAGAGGGATGAAGTTCCACCAGGCAGCTCCTTCTCTCAGGGTTGCAGCTCCCCACGGTGCGACAGGCAGGGATGGGAGGAGGGATGACAAATGGCACCTCCTCTCCGCTTTATTTCGCAGCCACCCTAACGCGACCTCTCCCCCGCCATGTGTCTCTCCCCCTCCCTTTCTGCTCACAGTGGCCATCAACCTGATCGTGCAGCACATCCAGGACATCCTGAATGGAGGACTCAGCAAACGGCAGAGCAACGGCTACCTGAACGGCTACACTCCCCCCCGCCAACGGCAGCCCTCAGAGTCCAGCAGCCGGCCCCACTGACCCCGGGGGGCAGGCGTGTGGGGCTGGGGGCAGAGGGCACTGGGGCCCTCCCTCTGTACATACTGTCTGTTCATCCTCCCCCCCCTCCTTTATTTATTTAAGAAACCAGATGGAGACCAATGCCTTTAATTTTGGATGTTGGGAATGCCGGACGAGAAGCAGCAGCTGGGAGCTCGGGAGCCCGGACCCGCCCGCAGCTCCTGGCCTTGCTCAGTAACTCCTCCTCCAGCACGGAACCGGCTATAAATCTCTATAAATATAGAATTGCTCTATTTTTGTGTAAATGCAGAATAACGTGAAGTTACTTGCCGTAAGGTAATTTGCCAGGCTCCGTGTCGCTGGGGAAAAAGAGGGTCCTGGGAGGTGTTGGTGTCAGGATTTTCACCTCAAAGGCAGTAAGAAAGGGAGAGGGTTCTACAACTGCCTAGTATCAGAACGTATCTTAATCAGTGGTGGGGGCAGATGGCAGCC